CTTGTATCCTTGTACTTGTATTTCGTAGCTGAAAATAGCAACCCTAATAAAAGAAAACAAAAACAGTATAAAATTTTGAAAAAAATGTTCAAGACTTTTTTTTTTGTTACAAGATTTATTTTTTTTTAATTTTTTTTTATTATTGAAATATTTTTCTTACATCCAATTTCAATTTTATACTTTGTTTAGACTTCGTTTCATTTTTTAAATATTTTTTTTTATTCTCTATGGATAATTTCTGCTTTCTTACGAAATATTGCTGCGGTCATATTTTCTGAAAAATTTATTCTCTGCGTGGACAAACAAGGCGTGCGACCGCACGCCTTTTCTGGGAAAGCCTGCTACACTAATTATGTTTACAAATCAGCATTAATATTTTTTTTCCATTCTGAGGTCTTACATTGTTTTATGCATACTTTTTATTTTGAAATCAATTTTTTTGTTTTATAAGTTTTTTATTTGGTGATAGTGTTACCAAACAAAAAACTTATAACATAGTGTTTATAAAGCAATTTTTTTTAATTATTATTATAGTTAAGTACTGTTTTGGTGCATTGTCTGTCTTATTTATTTTTAAATATTCCTCTATTAATCTTTATTTTTGTCTGGATAACTGTCAAAATATGCTTTGTTTGAAAAATAATTCTCCTTAATTCTAATGTACTTCATTTCTTCCTCAGGCATTTACTGCTCGTGTGTGACCATTTGGCGAATTTTATATGTTAAAATTTTTAAATAACTTATGTTTAGTTTTTTTGAGTTTTTGTGTTAGATTTTTCAAGATTATTTTGAATCTTACTAACAATATTTATTCCTTTTAAAGTTTTATACTTTTAATTTAGATAAGTATTGTTATTTTAGTTAGTATAAATACAGAATTAGTTAAAAAAGTGAAGCATCAAAGACAATTTAAAGAAGACTGGTTCAGCAATGATAACTTTAAAGATTGGCTAAAGAAAGATTTTAAAGATGATACTAAAGGAAGATGTATGGTTTGCCACAGGTCAATAGAAATATTCAAGTGGGCGCTCTGGCTTGACAAATCATACAAAAGAAGCAAAACACAATATAGAATTAAGAAAAGTGAAATAATTCTTTGCAAAACCAAAAGAGAAAAGTTCTTTGCCATTTGTCTTACTCTAATGAGTCAATTACAGAAAAACAAAAGACATTAGACCGGTGTGTCAAAAAACCAGATGTTACTAAGTCTAAAATTATTTGGCAGCTTAAAAATGTGAATAATGGTTCTTTTCTATACTTAAATGATGACTTAAGCCACAGCTATGTTTCCGGACAGTGCCATAGCGTCATAATTTCAGACAAGTCTATGAAAAACTTCATACATGTTAAATCATGGTTTAGCTCCTTATTTTAAATCAGTTTTAAAACTGTCAGACATCCATGCCTTTTCTTTTGATGAGAGCTTAAACGAGGTCACTCAAACCTTTGAAATGGATATTTGTATCAGTTTCTGGGAATCAACAAAAAAGAAATCAACAAAATCCTAAAAATTTATTTCCTTGTTTATTTTTACAAACTTTCTAATTCAAATGAATAAACAAATTATTATTTTATTTTAATAATTTTGTAATAAACATAAAAATGCATTTGCATGCATATTTATGTTTATTTCTAAAAATATTAAATTAACTTTAAATTTATTTTTCTATTTAGCAAGGTTAGGTTTAAATTTCCTTTTCTATTTTGTATTGCTAAAAAATAAATTTATTGTGCAAAAATTTCTAAGAAAACAAAAGCATGATATCAAGTTTATTGAATTTTGAAATTTGTCAAACTTGGAGGAAGAATTTATATATGTAAGTTCTGCTTCTAGTTGTTAAATTTGTTTAATATTATATTGAACTTTAATTAGGGTTTGCATGCGTGTTTCTGGTGTTTCATGCGTGTTTCTGGTGTTTCATGCGTGTTTCATGCGTGTTTCTGGTGTGCAATTATTTTTGAGTATCAATCTGACCTTCATAGAAAATGAAGATTTTTAAATGTCATTAAAAAACCAGTTTACTAGTTAGTTATTACACTCATTTTTATATCAAAATGTTTTTTTACATTCATTTTCATTTATTCTTGTTTCAGTATGATGAAAATTAATTTTGTCCTAAACCACTGAAAATTAATTTTGTCCTAAACCAGAAGTAAATGTTGTTTGAGTGTGTAGCATTATAATATTTAAAAAAATCAACTTAAACAAATGTTTTTTATAGTCTTGGCCCTCATCATGGGACAGGTGAAAGATTGAATGCAGTTAAAAAAGAAATATCTAATGGAGTTTATCATTATGGTGGCAATACGCTGTCATTGAAAGATTTTAAGGAAAAAAAAGTCAAGTTGGCTGTTAACAAACCTAACACAGGAGGCTTGCGTAGTGTTCTAGGGAGTGAGTTGTCTGCTCAAGCTGGATCTGATTTAAAAGCTTTTAAATTAAATAGAGGTAATTAAATTTGTTATGTATGCATATATTTAAAAGGTATTATATTTATGATAAAGCGCCAGTTTTTTTTTTTTTTTTTTTGCCTACCTAAATTCATACTTTTCTTTTGCATAAAGAAGATAAAAATTAAATTAATTTAAAGAAATTAAAGAAAAAAAAAGATTAAAAATCTCCAACTATTGTATTGAAAAACCCATCATATAAATTATCAGAGTGAAGTTTATAAATGTTATTTTGCCAATTACTATAATAAATATATAAAAATTACTATAATAATTATAAAAAAAAAAAAAGGTTATCTTTTTATGAATTGAATAATTAAAAAAAAACCTTGTCATAATTTTGCAATGTCATTTATTTAAAAGTAAATCTTTTTCTTGATTTCAGTTGTTTTCTAGCATAGATCTTTTCATTGTGCTCAATTGTTGTTTTTTCAATTTATTATTTAAAACTCTGTATTAACATTTTTACTGCTATGTGTCCTAAATTTGTTTTTACTGCTATGTGTCCTAAATGTTGCAAAAATCTTTGCACAATTATAATTGCATAATTTTTTTAAATTTACAATTACAAAAGTTTAATTTACAAACACAAAATTTACAAATACAAAATAACAATACTTTTTTTAAGTTTACAAATACAAAAATTACTACATATTGAAATTAGAAGCTAAAATTTACTTGCAGCCATGGTGCAATTTAAAATTTACTTATATGTATAAATAATGCCATTGCTTATTTGAAAATAGTTCCGAAATTGTCAAAGTTGTTACAAAAAAAATTTTGAACTAACACTTTATTTGATCGAAATTTTATTCAATCAGAAAAATTTTTTTACTTAAAATGCATTCTATATAATTTAAATTGAGAGAAAACTTCACCCTTAAAAATTATGAAAAATGATTCATAATTTTGAAATTTTCAGCTGGACCTGAATTTCCCCTTTACTTAACCCAGTTTGAAAGAAATTGTTTTAACTAAGTAGGTTGGTTACTTTTTATGCTTCAATTATATATTTTAAGGCACAATACATTTATTTAATGCACTTTTAATATTTAAATTTAATTTAATACAATAAATTTGTTTAAAGTTTATTTAAAGAATATGATTTAAAAATTTTAGCATATAAATTTGCCGAATAGTCACACACGAGCAGTGAATGTCTGTGGGAAAAAATGAAGTAAATTTCAATAAAGGAGAATTATTTTTTGAACAAAGCATATTTTGACTTTGCTGCTTTGCAGAGTGTGCTCTTCTTAGGCAAAGGCTAGGAGAAATAAACTCCGACTAAAAATTCCCCTGCCTTGGGGCTCCTGGTTGAGTAAAGGCTAGAGATGGTGTCTCGATAAAAATACTCATCTTAAGCAGATGTTAACTGCATCCAGCTACTGTCTTGTAGAAGGCCTCCTAGGCAAAGACTTTAGGGGTAAGCAGAAAAATTCTGCTAACCAGCTTCGAACCCCTTCTTCATCTATTAAGCTGGCATAGATGTAACCTGTGTTACATTGTTTCCTGCCTAGGATGATGAATGCTGGATCTCCTTGACTCTACTCATAGAATTTTGCTTATGCCTCCTTGATAATGGCTCTGCAACTCTTCCTGTTATCTCCATATGAGGGTACAGCTCTAAAACTCAGTTTAATGGTTCTGAGGCCAGCTGGTAGTAAGGTTTCCCGAACTCTGTGGTAGCTCTCAGAGAGGCTGATTCTATCAACAGCTGCAAAATATCAGAGTATTAACAGTGCCATGTTGCGCATGGGTGGTGTTAATGCTTTTGGTGTGCATTGTCAAGGCCACATAAGGAGCCCTATGTCACGGCTTAGGGTTAATTAACAGGACTACTACATAGCTCATTGATTAGGAGGCTGTGCTCTATCTATGAATGAGTCAAGTTCTCATTAAACCCAAATCGTGACCAAAGTAACCAAAAATCTTAAACCTAAAAAACCATCCCCATGGTTTTTTAGGTTTAAGATTTTTGGTTTGCTCGCCATTTCCTTACTTCTGATTCCATTCTCTACCTCTACAAATCTTTTATTCGTCCCTGTATGGAATACTGTTGTCATATTTGGGCTGGTTCTTCTAACGATTCACTTTCTCTTATTGACAAGGTCCAAAAACGCATTGTAAATGTTGTTGGACCTGGACTATCTGCTAAGCTTGAGCCTCTTTCCCATCGTCGTAAAGTTGCATCTCTTTCTCTTTTCTACAAATACTATCATGGTCACTGCTCAAAGGAGTTATCATCTCTAGTTCCATCAACTAAAATTCATTCTCATTTTACTCGTCATTCAGCTAAGTCTCATTCGTTTACTGTATCTGTCCCTGCATACTCTAAAAACTTTTATTCATCTAGTTTTTTTCCCCGCACTTCAATCCTTTGGAACTCTCTCCCATCTTCATGTTTTCCTGACTCATACAACCTTCAACTTTTCAAGTCTTCTGTCAACCGTTTCCTTGCTCTATAACTCTGTTCTTTTTTTTCCTAGTAACTTCCAACTTAATAGTAGTTGCTTGCAGCCTTGTTGGGAGTGAATGCAAATAAAATAAAGTTAAAAAATAAAAAAAATGAAAGTTTTTCAAAAGAAATGATCATATTTCTCTGTAGGCTGAATATGATCATTTCACTGTAATCAAGCAATGCAGATTATCTTTATCAAGTATAACAAAAATTATTGAGACGTGAATTATCAAGACAAAAATTATTAAGTTTAAACATTATATAATTCTCTGTCATATTCATTAAAAAAGTCAAATACTCATTTCACCAACAATTTGATTTTTGATTTGATTTGATTTTGAGTGATATTATGTTGTTATCTTCCAGTGGTTGTTTTTCTAATGGAACATTTCTTCTTTTCTTATATAACATAAAATTGTATAAGATTTCAGATTGTCTTGTTTGTTTTTGTTGATACGGATTTTTCATTCAGGTTTGTTTCAGTAGTTAATGCACTTTTCTTATAGATAGATTATACTTGAATATATTTCAGAAAGTAAGTGTAAGTGCTATTGTACCGCTATATTATTTGACTGTCATTGAATCCAGACTTATATATAACTATTAGTATTGCTCAATCAGGCAGCTTATATAGTCTAAATCTTGATAATATCCATAAACTTTTAAAAGACTCCAGAAAATTCTAGATTGTTTGAGAGATTTCTAAAAACATCCTAAAAACTCTACGAATTTTCATAAGATTCAAGAAAATGCTAGGCTTCAAAAAGTCATTATGCTACTGTGTGCAAATACTACTTATATACCATTTTAGAAATTTCTTGTTATGGGAGACCTTTTTTAACAGTTAATTAGATTGAATACCCATTTTCATTATTTTTAAGCAAAAGTTCATTATATATATATATATATATGGTTAGAATTCAATAAATACGGCTGCGTATAAACTTTTTTTTAAATATATATATATATTTTTTCTTTAATATATAATTATTTTGATATTTCGCTGATCTATTGTGATCAACGTCATCAGGTATAATAAATAAAATAGTTACAAAAATCGATATAGTAAAAACAAACCGTTAAAAAGATAACATTAAAAAGCCAAAATATAATACAGAAAAAAACTTTTGCAAACAACTGAAGTCAGCAGATTTTATTAAAAAATGGCCCCCAGGTTTTGGTTGTTACGTTATCACTGTCATCCCGATTGAGAACCATGTCACCATTTCTCAACTCCTGTTGAACCATAGCCTTGCTTATTCTGAGTGACTCTGATTTTCCGAGTTCAATATTCTGGGGCTACAGATTTTGGGGTGCAACCAATCAAATTAATTAATGAATTAAATATATTTCTTCAGACAAAAGTAAGATTACACGATTATGAATTAATTAACAGTATAACCAACAAATCAAAAAATTACCATTACATTAAGAAAAAAACGGAAATGAAAGAAAAATATCATAAATTACAAATTACCGATTATAAAAAATACTTTTAATCCTCCCAATCATGTTATTAAATCTGCTATACTCAATTTAACTAATGTTAATCTGGATAAATCAACAACTGAGCTACTCAATTTAGGTCCAAATTTTGTACCACTGCCGAAAAAAATTCCTTATATGAATATTATAACTTTGCAACTTGAAAAACTTACAAAACCAACACAGGCAGAAACTCTACGACAAAACTGTTCACAAATTTTAACAAATTTGCTAAAATTAAGATTAAAAGATAATTTAACTAAGCAACAACGTCTTTCCATAAACAAATTAAAAAATAATTCTAACATTAAGATATACCCTTTCGATAAAGGCACAGGTTTCGCATTATTAAACCAAAAAGATGCATCTCTCAAATTAGAAGAACAAATCAAAAATAGCAAAATTATTGATTATGATCCAACATCCACATTGACTACTAAATTTCAAAGACAATTGTGCAAATTAAGAAAAGAAGGTAAACTAGACACAAATACATACTTTAAAATGTATCCATCAGATTGTAACCCACCAAGGATTTACGGAATGATTAAAGCTCACAAACCAGAAAAAGATTACCCAATGCGCAATGTTGTATCAACAATTAACACACCACCTTATGGAACATCTGATTATCTTGTCAAAATTATTCAACCGACTCTAAACAAAAATAAAAGTAGACTTATCAAAAACTTACAAGAGATATGTAGATGATTGTCATGCTCGCTTTGCTTCAATAAAACAACAACAAATGTTCCTGAACATCCTTAATGAACAACATCCTGCCATAAAATACACAGTGGAACTTGAAAACGACCTCAAACAACTCTATTTCCTAGATATTAACATTACAAACACAGGCTCTGGAACTTATGAATTTCACATACATAGAAAAGAAGCTATTACAAATGTTCAACTTAAACCTAACTAGAACATTAATCCTAACATTATTATTGGCGTTTTCAAAGGATTTTTATGTCGTGCTAAAAGAATATGCTCTCAAAAACACCTTCAAAAAGAAATTGATTTTCTAATAGACATCTTTGTTGAAAATGGCCACGACAAGAACATTCTAAATAATATTACTATAGACTATTTAAAAAACGGTTCAAAAAACACCATATTTCAACCAATAGATACCCAACCCTTTATAAAACTACCTTGGATACCAATTGTTGGTCCAAAATTTCGTAAAGATTTTTGAAAGCAAAACATAAAGGTTATTTTCACATCAACTCTTAATTTAAAAAATGTTTTCTGCAACAATAAAACTAAATTACCACTAAACACAGACCCTGGCGTATACCAGGCAAATGCGATAATATTGTTTGCAGTAAATAACCTTTTTAACTAGAGTTTTTTTGGAGTTAAAATCTACAGCCACTGCAAGCCCCAAGCTGTTACAGGAAAGAGATCAGATTAATTATCAGGTGCTTATTCTAAGCAATCAAAAAATAAGAACTTTTTGTTATGACAAGAGTATAAAGTTGAGTTGTCAGCAAGATTGTATACAAGAGTATAAAGTTAAGTTGTCAGCCTTATTTAAGTTGTCAGTACAGTAGTCTCTCGCTGATGATTTTTAATCATTAGTTTGATTATGTTTACTTTGTTTACACAAGTTGATTTAAAATAGCACCTTGTTGTAAAAGGCATTTCTTTGAATTCATGAATTTACCAGATGATGTAAGCATATGTTACTTTAGTTAGTTATGCTAATAAAAACTATTTTGTATTATTTTTTATTATAGTTAAAGTATTTATAATTATTAAATTTAAAGTGTATGAAGAGAAATAAAACTTTATATAAAAGGTTTCTTTGTTTAATTAACATAAAATAGAATAGCTAGCTAAAGATCAAAAGGTCATTCTTTCAAAAACTAAATTTGCACAATTACTATAATTAAGACTAAATTTTTTACTTTGGTTCATTTATTATTAAAAACATTTAGCTCTTTACTGCCAACAAACAAAGGTTAACTTTACTCTGAATGGATATTTTAAAATTGTTCTATCTTTCAAAAAAACAAATTTTTCATACATTCTGTTGTTTTTAATGTTCATCAGAAGTTTCTTTTTTTTCTTTTTTTTTTTTTTTTGTTATTCACCTCCTCAAGGCCGAGAAGGCCACTACAGACAAGGAGGCTACTTGATAGTGGTTATAACCCTCTCTCAACTCTATAACTCCAAAACATGAACCTTGACAAACAAGGCCGCTGCGCGGAGAAATAAGTTGAGCGCGGTACTACCAGGGACGTGGTAGGGATCAAACTCAGAACCTCTCGCTTATGAAGCGAGTGTTTTACCACTACACCACTACCACATCTTAAATTGAGTTTTGTTCATTTTATTTAAATCTAGCTTTCGGTTTTAACTGAAAGACAGTTTTAAATGCTAAATGAGTCATGTCACGTAATTATTTTTTAATTCATTTTGTTGTCCTGAAGAAACAATAAAGTAGCTAAAATAAACAGAAAGTTAGTTGTATACTATTGCATTTGAAACCGATAAACTTTCCCTTTTTTTAGTAAGATAAATCTAGTAAATAATTTTTTTAGGCTCTTTTTTTTGGTGTCCATACTGCTTTAATGGTACCAGAACAGGTCTGGGTTAATCCCTGATTATAATAATACAGACCACATAAATCTGCAGTAATATTATTACTATTCTAATAAAATCTTTTCCAGACTTTAAATTCCTTAAATATAGATTTTAATTTAGTTTTGAGTAAGGGATAGCTCTTAAATGTTAAATGGTATCCTCTTAGTAGTAGTATAAAATTAAAGTTACTTGGTCTTGATCAGAAAGTCATGGTAGTGTCATTAAAGGCCAGAATTGTAAAATGACATTTTGGAAACTTGTTCAATCCACACAAGTGTGGAGTGCCATGGACATTAAGCCCTTTTTTTAAAAAAAAAAACCAGTAACGATACCCTGGAAAATTTATAACTAGGAAAAACTTGAAAACTTAAGGAACTGTTTGTCTAATTTATATAATTCAGAGAAAACTCAGGGAAGAGAATGAAAAGGTCTTAATATGAATTGTTTTTAAGTATTTTTGTTATAAATTATTTTTATTGTTATTATTATTGTTATTATTATTAATAATATTTATATCATCTTTATAATATTGTAATGTCCTTAGCTGTTTTTAGAAAAAATTTTAGAAGGGGGATCTAAAGAATTGTAAGTTGTTTTTATTTATAATTTTTTTAGTATATGTTTAGTTGTGTTTTTTTACAAAATTATATTAAATTTTATTAAAATTTTAAAACAAGATTTTATGGTTTTATTTTATATATATATTAGGGTGGCTCTTAAAACAACTTTTTTGAGAACAACCTGCTCTAAATCCTTTAATTTGTTCTACATAACACTAAAACTCTAGATTTAAAATTTTTTTGAACAAAAAATATTTTTAGGGGTAGCTCAAGACCCTCAAAAATTTGATGGGTCCCTAATATTTTTAAAAGTTCTTCTAAAGTATATCAACCAAGTACTCAAAAGAAGCAAAATTATATAAAAACTTCAAAAATAATAATCAGTTTATGTAAAAAACATGTCTTAAAAATAGTTCTCAAAAAACTTAAAAATGTTGACCTTTTTTTGTTTTCAGCTTATAAACAATAGTTTTTATGCTGATTATATATATATATATATATATATATATATATATATATATATATATATATATATATATATATATATATATATATATATTATATATATATATATATATATATATTTACACCTAGTTTAGCACTTTCGGCGACAGATTTTACAAAAAAACTAACACTTACGGGAACATTTGCATTATCGGGGACATTTTAGTGTACCCATTAATTTTTTGTCCCTGTAAGCATGTTTTTTTTTTTGTAAAAAAATGTACCCGTAAGAAACTTTTATAGAGAACGAAAAGTACATACATCGACTGACAAATAGCCTGACTCACAAGGGAGTGCTGCTTCATCGACTGAGGGTTTGGTTAGGCCAGGCATTAAGGTTAGGCTTAGGGTTAGGGTTACGGCAAGGTTTAAATTTGCTTATATTATTGTAATTAATTGTTTTTGTAAATAGATGAAAATAAAAATTAAATATAGTATAAAATAAATAAATAAAAATAATAAAAATTAATATAAAAAATATATTTCTATATTAAAATAATAAATTTAAATATGTATAAATAAAAATAGAAATAAAAGAAAAATTTAAAAAATATATAAATATGATAAAAATAGTATGAAACAAGTAAAAAAAAACAACAGAACGAGAACAAAAATAACATGTCCCGGTAAATCTCCATCTAGTAGGCTGTATATATATATATATATATATATATATATATATATATATATATATATATATATATATATATATATATATATATATATATATATATATAAAGCATACATTTGTTTATCAGAAGGAGTGTTGAAAAAGAGGTATGCAAACCACAAGCAATCATTTACAAATAAGAAACTTTCAAATGCAACTACTCTCTCAAAACAAATATGGGAAACTAGGGAAAAACTGAAAGAAACACTAGAATTAACTTGGTCTATCCTAAAAAAAGCCTCGCCTAGAACAATACAACAAAAAAATGTTTACTTTGTTTATATAAAAAACTGATCTTTTTACTTTATAAAAATGCTGAAGAGCTACTTAATAAAAAAAGTTAATTTTCAAGTGTCATCACAATAATAAATTTCTATTAGGCAACCACAAACCTGAAAATTAGATACACGCGGTTGTAACAATAAAAAAGGTTTTTTCTGTGTAGGTTTTTTCTGTATAGTTTCAATCGTATATAATTTTTAAATGAACAAACTATATTTGTATTTCACCTGATGATTGTAACAGCATGAAACTTAAAGTTGTGAAAATCACGTAATTTTATTTTCTATTATATATATATATATATATATATATATATATATATACAAATAGTATTGCGCACTAAGGTAAGCTATCTGGCGTCATACTGAAATAGCCTGCTGCTGGGGGCTTCAGTACATACATCGACTGACAAATAGCCTGACTCGCAGTGGAGTGCTGCTACATCGACTGATAGTTTGGGATGAAGAAGCAATGGTTTTATTCATCATTCTTCGTTTTTTCTTCTTTTTCGAAAAAAACGGTATAGCTTAAGGTAAGTAGAAAAAGTGAGCAAATGCTTATCAAAATACACTTTAGTAAGTGTATATATATATATATATATATATATATATATATATATATATATATATATATATATAGATTTGACCCAGGTTTATGACAAAATTGATGGTATTGCTATGGCTTCTCCATTAGTATCTGTACTTGCTAATCTATTTATGGGTAGTTTTACATATATGGGTAGATTTTATAAACATCTACATTTAAATTTTATCAAATGATTAAGAAATAGGTGGTTTCTTTAAAAAATTAGAGCTTATTTACTAATGAATGATTGTATCCCATTTTGCACATGTTGTGAAATTTTTAAATAATTACCTGAGGCTATCTGATATTTACCATAAATTTTAAATTTATTTGTTTATTTTTTCAATTTATTTAGTAATGTTTGTTGTTATTTGTTTAATTATTCGTTATTTTAATAATTACTTTAAAAAACAAAAATTAAAACTCAATAAACCCAGAATTAGTGAAAATTAAGAATTTATTTGACATAAGTAATTTAGAAGTTAAAAAAAAAATTTAAAATTTTTAAAACAAATTTTCTGTTTAGAAATGAACTTTTAGTAGCACCAACATTGGGTTCTCGGAACTTAATTCAACATTTACATGGCAATCAAACTAAAGGTTTTTTTTTTTTATTTATTGGCTGTTTTGATCGTTTATTATAAATTATTTTAACAAATATAGTTTTCTTAGAATCACACTAAAATAGAACCAGTGAAATGCAATTATGTAATACAATATGATTCAGCATTGAAATTTTTTTTTTTTTTTAATTGAAATATCAAAAAACCTTATACCCTGTACTATTTTTGGAAGAATACTGTTGTATCTGTTCATCAGCAAGTTAATAGTACTAGTTAAATTATTTAATATAATTTATAATAATAGTTATAAATATTTATTTATATTTCTAAAAATTGCATAGTTGTTATGACAGTATAAAATAAAAGACAGGTGCAAAAAATAGTAAGCCTGGCGATACCTCAAAATTAGGCTTTACTAATTATTACTAGTTAGCTTTACAATAGTTAATACAGTATGGTAGATGAAACTTTTATCTGTTAGTTTTTCGAAATTGTGTGTTGCACTAAGTTTATTGGACTTAAGCTTTTATTATTATCTTTAGTGGAGAATGTTTTTTTAGTCATTCAAAACTGAAAAAGTTATTTTTGAATGTAACACTGGACTGGGACTAAATTGATAAATTTATTACTTTTGAACATTGAGTCCTTTTATACTTTGCAAGAGTTACAGAATGGTTATAATTAAACAGATACTATTTCTAGCAGCATTAAAGCTAGTTCCTGGCTAAACTGTTGGTTTGTCATCGCTGTTTTGTATGTACTTACACATACAAGAATACTCAGTTTTTACCCTAGTTTGTCACCTCTTATTTGGAGTGTAGCATAATTTTAAATTAGTGACCATAACAAATGAAACAGTTTTTTTTAATGTTTGCAATGTAAACTTTATGAAATACAAAAGGAATATTTAAAAAAATATTTATTTTTATTTTATCAATACCTATTAACAAAGTGTTTTCAGTGTGGAAGTCTAAGTGTTTTATTACAGTACTAACTGCAAAGTGTTTTCAGTGTGGAAGGTTAAATGTTTTATTACAGTACTAACTGCAAAGTGTTTTCTGTGTGGAAGGTTAAATGTTTTATTACAGTACTAACTCCAAAGTGTTTTCAGTGTGGAAGGTTAAATGTTTTACTACAGTACTAACTGCAAAGTTTTTCTGTGTGGAAGGCTAAGTGTTTAATTAATTTGACCCAAGGATAAAGTTAATTTCAGTGTAAATTTTATTTATATTAAAGTCATAAAAAACTTATTTAAATCTCTTGTACTATTTTTTACTATCCCTATTTGGAATATTTAGACCATAATGCATCAGTAGATATTTGTCAGTATTCAATAAAACCATTTTTATATTTACTTTATTTTAATGATTTATTATAATTTCTGTTAAATTTTTTTTCATAATTTCTTTATAATATATTTTAATTTTTCTAATTTCTTTATTATTTTTTAATAGTTGTAAAATCTTTTTTTAGTAATAATTTAATTTAGTTTTTAGTTTTTAACTTCTTTTATATATACTTATAATTAATTTCAGCAGTTACCAATATTTTTATTTAATTAATTTTTTGTTTAATATTTGTATAAAATTTGTTAAAATGTACAAATAATATAAATAATAAATAATATTTTATATTTGTTATTATTTAAACTATTTGCACATTTAATTTTTGAAAACTTTTAAATTTATTTAGAAAAAGAAATAAAAGAACCAACAAAATCATCTAGCAGTGTCATTGAGTTCCTCCGTAATAACAAAAGTGCCATAGCACCGAATGAAAAACAACCATGTGTTAAAAGAAAATTAACTGATGTTGATTTTTTTAATGATGAAGCTAAACCAATAAAACAAACTGAAGGAAAACTGTTAAAACAAAAATCAATTTTAGACCAAAAGCCAACCCTTAGTAAAAATTTTAAAGATAAAAACATTGAATTTTCAGATAATGAAGAAGATTATTTAAGTTATAACAAGTACACTGGTGAACAAGACAATAATATTACATCAAGTTTTAAAATGCTAACAGAAAATACAATTGTTGATTTAAAAACTAAAAAAAATATAAAATCATCTTTTAATTATGATAAAGCCAAGGTTTTTTCAGCTTTCTTTTTTTTTTTTTTTTGCTTGTGCAAACTTAATCATTGTTTTTAATTTTTTTACATATTCAATTGTTTAGCTTAAAGCATTGGCTACAATTAAAATGAAAGGACCACTTGTATTAGATGATCCTAATAATGTTGTTGTCGGTAAAAATAAAGGCCTTAAATCATTAATAAAAATTCAAGAAAAAGTTGGAAATTCACTTAAAAATGACATTTCAGGTTATATATATATATATGTGTGTGTGTGTGTGTGTGTGTGTGTGTGTGTGTGTGTGTGTGTGTGTGTGTGTGTGTGTGTGTGTGTGTGTGTGTGTGTGTGTGTGTGTGTGTGTGTGTATATATATATATATATATATATATATATATATATATATATATGTATATATATATATATGTATATTGTATATGTATGTATTATGTATGTATGAATGTATGTATTTATATTTTTTATCATTTTGTTATTTTTTTAGAACCTAATAAAGTTATTGTTGAAAAAAAGAAAGGACTGTTAGATGGGATTCTTGGTCATGTTGACCTCAATTCGAAAGAAGGAAAAAAATTACTAGAAATGAAATCAAGGAATGTTGGTGCTCTTAAACTGGTTAAAGAATATTTTTTCTATATACTATATTGTTTGTTATTTTTATTCTTTATACTTATTTATCATGAGTTAATTTTATAAATAACATAAATACTTATTTATCAAAAGACAGTTTGATGTCTTTAACAAAAGTATATTAATGAGACAGGAAAAAATATTATAAAGTATATGAAAATTTTCCTTGTTACATGCTGGGACCGCCTTCTATCTGCATTCAACCATTATGACAGAATAAATGATACACCGATCTTAATAGAACTGATTTTGTTCAGGATAGGTTAATTAAAATTTTAGTTACAATCGACGAAAATTTTAATTAATCTGACAAATGAAATATCCATTTAGAACCGACTAGTGATAAATCAATTTACAACCGACTATTAAAAATTTAAATTGTTAATTAAGAACCAACTGACAATAAAATATAAGTCATGGTATCCCTGGCTTATATTGTTTAAAAATGACTTATTGTCCCTTGGACAACAAAGGGTTAATAAGTTACAAAAAATATTAAGTTTTTAATTTAGGTGTATAATTGATTGGTCAGCTGTAAATGAAGTCTTTTAAAATTGTCAGTTGTGTAGGATTTGGTCCTTTCCTTTGTCTTAATTAAGAGTCAATGCTGCAGAAGTCAGCTCTAAATTATTCAGACAAAGTAGTTGGTCAAAATAGGAATTCTAATAAATTGGTTCTATATTAAACATGAAAAATTGGTTCTAGCACTGGCCACCAAATTTTGGAATTCTATTCATAATTAATATAATTATAAATAATTATATTAATTATGAATAGTTACATTAGTTATAAATAATTACATTAATTATAAGTAATTATATAAAATAATAATAAATAACTATATTAATGATAAAAAAAAGTAACCCGTAATACGGGTTATGGTTGGTCTGTTTTATAGTGGCTGTTTTCCACAATTTAAAGTTGCGAATTCTTAACTAATACCCTTTTAGAAAAACGCCTTTAAATTGAACAAATTTATCTCTCGGTAAAATTAACATAATAAGTATGAGGAGGTAAATTAATTTACCAATTATTATTTAACACATTGGAGTAATTTACAACCATTTTTATCGACATTTCTAATTTGAGCACAAAATAATAACACTTCGCCATTCTTTTTAAATATCAACTAAATTCTTGTAATATTTTTTATAACATAAACCTTAATTATTTATTAAGATTATCATGAAGTTAACTTATATTATACAGGAGTTATTAACTTTTGGTATCCCCTCTCAGGTTAAATTTTTTTTTTTAATGCACTTAACTAAATAAATTTATTAAAAATAACTAAGTTTATTATAAATAACTAAGCAATTGAGTATAAATGCGTTTCAAAAAAATATCTAGTAATTTACAATCAAACATGTGTATAACAAATTTAAAAAAAAACCGTTAACTTTGATCTTTTATATTGCGTCATACGACAAACCTAAAATAAAAATTGTAACAGATAAGTAGGCATAAAAAAGGCATAAAAAAAAGTAGACATAAAAAAGGAAAAAAAAATGACTGGAAAACAATTTACCTGCTTTTGGTAACCTGTTACCATACTTTAGTTACTGTCATGATGCAGCAGTTCTTGTCGGTGTTGTTTAATGACATTATTTAATGTTGACTTTCAGTAAACTTTAGTTTAATTTAGAAGATATCGCAATATATTTAAAATATTTTAATTAAAAAGCAAAATATAATGCTTTAAGGAGCTAAACTATACCCATTTAGGATAAAAAATCAAATTGAGATATAAATTAATTGCATTTATATAACTAAATATATTGTCTTGGCTTATAGTAAATTTTAAAAGCAGCAAGTGCAATATATTATTTTTAACTATTGAATGTAGCATCATTATACTATGATAATTGGAAAATGAATCAATTTAACTGTATTTTGAGTTAACTGTATTAAGATGAAAACAAATCAAATATACAACATAATATATTATTTAAAAAAATACAAATTAAAAACAAAAAAAATTACAAATTTAAACAAAAAAATTACAATTAAAAAAAAAATTACAATAAAAAAAAAAAAGATGGCGGTATGGATGAGTCCTCCATTAGAAGGAGAACTCATCTATACCACCATTTGAACACCATTTATTGAAGGACCTCTCTGAGAGAGTCCCTCGGTGTTGGGAGCAATATTTCTTGTACATTTCGAATGTTAATTGATCTAAAATAACAAATAGAAGAATATAATAAAAGTTTTAAATATTTGAAATTTTATTTAATCAAAATATAAAGCATAACCTCACCATTTTCAATGGTAACAGAAGACGAAGCTTAAAACATTAAAAAAAAAGATGAGTAAATTAAAAAAAGTTAAACATGTAAAAAAATTTATTTTAATAAAAATATAAAACAGGAACAGTTAAAAATGTCATATTTATTAAAAATTATAAAAACTTGCAATTTTATTTAATATAAATATAATCCATAACCTCACTAGTTTTATTGGTGACAAAAGGCGATGCTTAAACATTAAAAAAAAAAGAGTTAATTAAAAAAGGTTAAATGTGAAAAATTTTATTTTAATAAAAATATAAGTAAAATAGGAACAGTTAAAAATATCATATTAATTAATTCTTTCACATATTGCACATATTTCTCCATACAAAAGTAAGGTACCATCCAACGGTTATCTAGATTGTTGCCTTTAATATTGATAACCAACCGATTATCACGACGCCTATATCATGGATAACCGTTGTGAACTGCTACTGTGTAGTCACTAAGTTCTTTAGGATAATTTTTGCTGCACACCCCATCTTTTATGCAGGAAGAATTAGGATTCAGTATCCCAAACCCATTTGGGAAACTGAATTCTAATTCTCCCTGCATGAAAGATGGGGTGTGCAGCAAAAATTTTAATAATTTCATAAAGTTTTAATAATATCATAAAGTTTTAATAATATCATAAAGTTTTAATAATATCATAAAGTTTTAATAATATCATAAAGTTCAGGATTAACAATTGGATCTGGAATTTCTGCACATATTAAATTATTGATATCCTGTGCTGTTTCAAGTTTATCATCATTGGCTAAATAAAGTAAAATGTGGGCATGCGGCAAACCACGCTTTCAAAACTCAATAACCTGAACATGCATTACAACTTTGCCTAATACACCATGTTTGAATATATCATTAAGGATGTTATTTAACTTGTGTTTAAATACTCTAGTAACCAAATCAGGTCTATCATTCTCAGTCTGACCCGGATATAAATTTTCTGTTATTTCACGCCATTTGGGGTTGCAAGTAAAAGTAATAAAAAGATCTGGTTTACCATACTTTATAATAATTGCCTTAGCATCCTACATAAGATGGCGGCAAAACTACTACTCGCTCTGGTCGAATATTACGATCGTTCGCAATGTTGTTAACATGTTCATGTAAGGCATCATACTGCTCGCTTCTAAGTTTGTTTTGGTTATTTCTGATAAATGCAAAATGCTGACCTTCAATTTTGACATATGCATCAACAGCATATTGCTGAAATAGTTTCTTGCCATAAAATAATGAACAGAAAAATTGCCTAACAAAGTCTATAATTGTAGAACTGAGATAATGTAACATGATTTCTAACCAGTGTGGCACGCTCAGGGTTATGCACTAACTGATTATGCCAACCAGCATCACCTCTTGGGAAAAAAAAGAAGATAAACCATAGGATCTAAGTTGGATGACATACTTGATACAATTTTTAAAGGATGACCTCTTGGGTAAATAACAACTTCCCTGGAAGTTGGTGAAACACCATCTTCACCAACAAATACAACAGCAACTTCATCATGTGAAGGCAGATTATAGCAACGTCTAGCACCCCCTTCAAGTAAAGACATTTTTGCAACTGAGACTGAGCGACCTTTTATAGCTGCTTGATGAACTTCTTTATCTTCTACTTCAGCCATGTTTTTAAATGCAAGAGCAAATGGACTTTGTTCATTATAATTTGTAATTATAGTTTGCAATTGAAACATTAAATCACGTAAACAAAGATCATTACCACGTTGTTGCATTCTAAAATTTACTGCTGTAAGTGGATAATAAATATATAGTTGAGAATATTTTGGTGGAATATCTTGATCTGGCCTAAGATGACATACACAATAATAAATCTGACCACATATTTTAAAATATGGAGGCCCATGATTTATTGGTTGAACTACATCTGCTTTAAAAGAAGCAAAAGAAAGACAGGCATTATATGTTTTAAAAAATTAAAATTAGCATTACGATCTACATAACTCCCTGTAAATAAATCCTGTAAAACTTGTATAAATGGTAAAAGTGGAGGCAACGTTACCTTACCATTATGGCAACATAGAAAATGTTTTTCATCTAAAAATTTCTTAGCACCACAGTGCTGAAAAATTTGATTCTTTTCTCTTAAATAATTATAATCTGGAATAGCATTACTTCTTGCTATATAATGCATTCTTCCATATCTAGCAGCATATCTAGCATTTGGTTGATTAATAATTTCATCTTGCCTCAGCCTATTTCTTACATTTTTTTGACAATTATTTTTAACTTGCCTAATCATACTGTCCTCATTTTGATTCAAATTATTTGCGGCTTGCCGTGCTGCATATCTATCATTTTGTTGATTATTAATTTCATCTCGCCTCAGCCTATTTCTCGCATTTCTGCTACGACTGTTTTCAACTTGCCTATTAACATTTCCATCATTTTTTAAACTAATAGCCACTTCTAGCCTTATATCATCCATTTAAACTTCACTTTTAATTAATAGTAGTAACAAAAAATCTTGAAAAAATCTTGAAGATTGTGACCTTTTTTTTTTACTACTCTAAATTGCACACACACAAAGAATAATTTTTAAAACAATACATAGGAAATTTTCATTTAAAATAAACAAAATTATGCAACAATATTTTGAGTTTTTTATAAAAACATTTTTATAAATATATCCGTTAAAAGATGTTTAAACAAAAAATAAACTTGTAAATATAATGTAAATAAAAAAATTAATCAATAGTAATAAAATAATAATAATAAAAATTTTAATGATAAAAGGTACTGTTAATACAAAAAATAGAAGACAAAAAAAAAAAAAAAGTAAGGTATTTGTAAACTCCTTTTAGTAAACTTCATTATTATTTCTATAAAAAAATTGTATAAAAAACATGCAAATAATTTAACCTTGACAAACAATGACTGCTCAAAAGTTGTAGTTTAATTTATTTTTCTAAATTCTAAAGAAAAAAAGTTTAACAGCATCACTGAAATGCCAATAATATAATAAGCAACATGACAAAGTTTATCAAAGATTATTTATCTGTTTTCTTTTTTTTTTTTATTATTTAATTTTTTTTTCAATGTTTTATATTATTTATTACACATTAAAATCAAAAGATTAAATTTATTAAAGCTTTACATAAGTTAAAAGTAGTTATAAACACTAAATTATTAAATTCAAAACGATCAAAAGAAATAAAATCTGCTGGAAATCAACGAATTAGTTTAAAATTATAACTTAAAAATATTACAAATATAAATGTGATTTTTGTTACAGTTAATAAACTGCTGTAGTACATTTTTTAAAACTGATTAACTGATGTGGTATATTTTTGAAGCAATATAATAGCCATGTTACATTGAGAATCAAAATTTAAAGTAATACAAACTATAAATAATAATCTAAACAAATACTAAAAAAAACAAGACAAACAATTTAGAATATATAAATTTTTTTAATGAAAATAAAACACCAAGGAAAAAAAAATTATCTTCACTGGTTGAAGATATTAAAAAAATTTTTGTTGCTATTTTTTACTTGGTGCCTCCCAGTACCCCTATATGGATGAGCCCTCCATTTAAAAGAAGGCTCATCCATACTATTATAACTGCACCATTTGTTAAAAGACCTCTCAGAAAGAGGTCCTGGGTGCTGGGAGCGATATAGTCTCTAGCTGCTCCAATTTAGATCTAAAGAAATAAAAAATAATATAATAAAAAAAGATATTTGCATTAAAAGCAATAAGATAAAAATTCCTAATATAGAAAAATTAAAAAAAAAAATGTTGTAAAACCCTTTTTAGCAAACTTTAATATTATTTCTTTGAAAAAAATATTAAACATTTTAAAAAAATTCACAAAACTTAACAATATTTTGTTCATCTATACCACATAAATAAATCATTTGATAAATCTAAAATAAAAAATGTAACAAATAAGTAAATTAGAAAAACATTACATACAAAAAAAAGATCTTGCTTTACACGTTTAGCAAGTCACAGCACTTTGAAAACATAGAAATAACATAATATAAACATATAAACCAACTATAAACACAATATATATGTTTAACCTTATATACACATATTTAAACACATTTATAAAATAATTATATAACACATATTAACACATACACAAACAATAAAAAAACATGTTACATTATTATAAAAATACATTGATAAAACAGCTATAAAGCTCATATTAGAATATACACATAATTATCAAAAAAGCAATGCAAACAATAAACATATATAACTTGAATTTTGCAAGCAATATAACCGCGTCTAATAACCACGTGCATTTTGAGAAGGCGCTGTTTCAAGTTCAGAAAGGCCTAGTAACTAATTACAACTGCTTTAAAAACGCAAGCGAAACGACATTGAACATTGAACATTGAAATCTTACAGCATTAGTATTTAGATAATTATATTAATTATAATAAATAGTTATGTTAATTATAATAAATAATTATACTAATTAAAATAATTTTAATGAGTTATTGATACAATTATATTTGTTATTACAAGTTTTATGCAAATTAAAAATTAGACTTTAGTAGTAATCTTGTTATTAGCATTGTATTGTTTTAAGAGTTACAAAGATTCGATACTACACAGCTTCAAAGATTTGCTACAAAGATAAGACAAAAGTATAAAAAATCATAAAAACATTTAAAGCTTTAGGTCACAATTAACTATTTCAAGTTTTTTTAGTTACATTGTTTCGTGTCTAGTATAATACAAAATAGTTTTTTTTGTCTCCCTGGTAGTGGCTCTGCAAGTTTTCTTGCAATAAAAGTGCATCTCTTAAACTCAGTTTAATGGTTCTGTGGCAAACTGATAGTAAGCTTTTCAAACTTTTTAATTAATTTAGGTGTGCATTATTAACGTCACATAAGTAGTGTTTTGTTTCAACTTTGGTTTGATTAACAAGAATGAGGCAATGGCTTAAGGGCACCATAAGCAGGCTTGGACAGGAATGGCATGCGATCAAGCACTATTGCTGACCGCGTGGTCAGCAATAGCGCTTGATTGCATGCCATTCCTGATCTTATTTCTTGATAACTTGACCATAATTGCTTATGTTTTGATAAACACTTCAAAAATGCGTTTAGCGTAGAAACCCTAAACTAAACTTAAAACTAAGGAAAAAGTTAAAAAAAACTAACGAAAAGAGAAACGAAAAAAAAATTCTTTACGAAAAAGAAATTATATAAGCACTAAAATAAAAATAATAAAATAATATTAAACTTGAAGTGAAACTTTTTGTTACGTTTTTAATTACGTTTGAAATAAATCTTTATAAACATTTTAATAAAGTTACGCAAAATGCTTTTAAATTAAGTAACAAATTACTACTAATGATTTTCTAATAAATGAACAAGTTTTATCAAATTTATTAAAAAGTGTTGTATTTAGTATTTTTAAATTGTAAACATTAATTTTTTCAAAAAAGGTGCAAAAAAAAATTTGTTTAAAAAAATAACTTAGTCTTTTTAAGATAGAAATTTTTATTAATTTTATGCTCTAATTAGTAAGTCTAGTTAAAAAAAAAGGTTTCCAACTCTTTTATTTGTAAAAATAGGAAAAAATAAATAAATAAAATGCGCCTGCGATTTAGATAAAATAAACTGCCAACAAGCAATTTAATTTAAATTTATTAATGAGTACTTCATGTAACGAGTTTAAAAATTATTATTAATGATTTTAACTCATTCATTCTTATCATGATTGGAAGAAGAAGAAAAAAAAATTTATTTGAAAAAATAAAATGTTTGTTTAAAAGATTTTAAAAAATTGTAAGTTTAATATAAAAATTAATCTTATGAATATTACAAAATACATGCTTATATAAGTCAATAAAGTTATTTTATATTCTTGTCTAATTCACATTTAAAAGCTAAATGTAAATGTGTAAAAGCTAGTAGTCGCAAAAGATTTTGAACTTATTCATAAATTAAAGTAACTTAAAAAGAAATTTTTCTAAAATTAATGCTTTAAAAGATTTTTAAGAAGACATGGGTAAATAGTTTTAAAATGTTTAAATTTTTCATGAAAAATACATTCCTTCATAAAAAAAATGTATATATAATTTTTATTAATTTACACACGTATTTATGAAACAATTATTAAAAAAAATAATTTAATTATATGGTTTTACTTTATAGCCTTCGCATAAAATAAAAACTTTAGAAAAGATCAACGATTAAAAGTTATTCATAACGTAACACTTTTTATTGCATTTAAATTGTTAAAACATCAAAGTAGCCGTGGTCAAGTTGTAAAGAAAAAAACTAGCGTGGTCAGTTACAGAGTGTGATCGCAGGCCATTCCTGTCCAAGCCTGCATAAGTATCTATGCTTGAGTCAAGCTCTCTAATAATTTAAATTCTTTACTAAAGTACCTAAAAATATTAAACTAAAAATATTATTATTGATACCAAATTATTTTGTCAAAATTTTACAAATATTTGCTATCTTCAAAGATTTTTTTATGTGTTGGATCTTAGCTGGATCCTGCAAAATTTAGCAGGCCTACTTGATCTTTTAAAGGCTAAAGTTAAATTAATGGCATTACTGTATCAGTTTACTTATTTTTTGTAAAATTAGTTTCAAGTCTTTTAACTTTTTTTTTTTTTTTTTGTGCTTTCACTTAGCTGTACTTCCCTCATTCACCTTTATCTTTGTTCTTTATTGTTCTCCTTTTTCTCAAGTTTGCATTCTTTTTGATGTTATTCCTAGTCAAATTAACCATGCCTTTTTTTTATATATAACTACCATTATTGCTATTGTTTTAAAGCTCATCACGCTGATCTATTTAGCTCTAGTGCATTTGACCTTTAAAGATTAAAACTTTTATTCTTTTTAATCTTTTACTCGGAAGAAATTTATTGTCTTTGTTCCTTAGTTTTTTTTTAAATTAAGAAGAAAAGAAGAAAAAAAAATTAACCTTGGTTCCTTGATTTGTTTATTACCTTTGACCCTAACTTATGCTTAGAATCTTAAATTCCCTTGTTCTACTTTAGGTGGCCTAAACCATTCTATGATCTAAGACTTTTATGTTCTTTTTCTATGCCAGATTTTCCTCATCATAATACTTCTTGCAAATATTGACTTGAATTTTATTGTGGTTTTCTTCTTTATGAATCTTGGGCAAATATGTTTTGTTTCTCTGCTAAAAACTCTTTTATCCAATTTGCTAAATTTAGACAGGAATAGAATTTTTTTCTTCTCACCATTTTCAAATCATTTCTCACTCATAGTTTTTTTCCTCATGCAGCTCCTATTTCTGATCATAATTTTTTTTTTGAGTTCATTCAAACATTCCTAATTTAGTTATGAAAAGTCATATTTTATTTTCACTTAAACAAGCAATGCCTTCTTATTATGTTTTTTGAGAAAAATTGGAAAAAAATTTTAAATGTTTTTTATATTTGATACCAAAATACTATTTAGCCAATCCAATATATGCATTTTGGTACCAGAAAAAAGCCTGGTGTTCTGTGGTTGGTACTACCGGTATTCTGGGGTACTATCCGTATTCTGTGGTACTGCCGGTATTGGATACACTTTAAGCATGGTTTATTTTTTTATAGGCAGAAAATGAAAGAGAAGAAAAATATTTTGATTCACTTGTAAAAAAAGAACAAATGGAAGAAAAATTGATGAATGTTTATGAAATCAAAGTTTCTGCTGTGGCTTGTAGAATAGTAAGTTGTTGTTTTTATTTTTATTTATAGTTGAGTAATGATAGTAAAAGTAAATTTTATCAAGACCAAATTAAAAAAAACTTATTTTAAAAAGATTTAGGAAGTTATACTACTATAATAACCTACAATGTATAAAAATAGAAAATATAATACAAAAATTGCATATAAAATGACCTAACTGCCAATCTAAAAGTGTCTCACGTTGGGAATTTTTTGCCAACATTATTTTTATGTTTTTATGGTAAAACCTCTGTTTTAAAATTTTTTGCCAAAAATAGTTTGAGGTATTATCATGTTGTAATAAAGTTACGCGTAATAAGAATAATGGTTGAATTATAGTTGAAGTCCAAGTGTATTATGGGTAATATGAAGTGTAACTAAATGATGAGTAATTTGAAGTGCGTGTAATTGTACAGTAGGGTGTGTCAATTTTTTTATTTTTTTTTTAATTTCAAAAACGGCAAGGTTACTTTTGGTGAAGAATTTTATGGAGATTCCGAATCTGCAAAAAAAAATTTTCTTAAATAATGACTTGTGTTGTTTTGAACAGAAAAATGACTAAAATGTGACTAACAGGGCAAAACTATAACTTTAAAAAAAAAAAAAATCTAAAATTTGTGATTAACTCAATAAATGTTATGTTAAATTGATTATTTGGTTCAAAAAGTCATAAAAATAAATACAAAAAAGGAGTTTTTGTGAAGGATATTTTTACAAAAATCAAGCAATATTTTAAAATAAAATTCTCTTTGTATAAAATTTCATATTTTATACAAAGAGTGTTGCAGTAAAGTGGGTTTTTTTTCCAGTTTTTATCAAGTTTTAAAAGTAAAAAGAGTTCATTTTTGTAGGGAATCTGAATCTGAAAAAATAAATAAAAATAAAACATGTCTTGTTGGAGGGAATTCTTAGTTTTAGATGAAAAAATGGCTAAAATATGAATACTTAAAGAGAAAAAATTACAAATTTAAAAAACAAAAAACTTTTCAATTATTTGATAAACTCAATATAAACTATGTTAAACTTTATAAATGTATCATATTTTGTTTAAAAGTAAAAAAATATAAACACATAACGGGGCTTTTGTGAAGGTTGCTTTTAGAAAAATTAATTGATTTTTTCATATTTTAGATGGTGAATGTTATCTTAGGGTGCATTTTCTTTTCTAAAATTAATGATAATTCAAATACTTTTGTTATAACAAACAGTATATTATATACTAATACATTTATAACAAATATTAATAATATTGATATTTTTATTAAAGTTTACATCTAACTAACAATTAATAGTTTATAAATTTTATTTAAAATTTGTGAGTTCAATTAAGTTATATTTTGCATTATTTGTGCTCATAAAACCCCTACTGATTTCTTCTGCTCTTGTATATCCTACTTGCTTCTCATGGAAATATTTTTTTACACAAGGAATTCAATTGGAGTAAAATATGCCAAGGCCCCTCTAATAAAAATTTCCACTCCACCAATTAGATTGGTCAATTTATCAGCATCAGTATTTATGCATGGGGTTTTGCGAATTCTTACTGAATTTCTTCAAACTGAATATTATAATTTCCTTCCTTTGTAATCTCTAGCACCCTTTTCACTCCTAACTTTCATTCCTCTTCATTTTGGAACACAAAAGAGTTTGAATAATGCATTCACTAATTGCAAACCATGCAGATCTCTTTACAGTTTTCAATCTATTGCAACAACATATTGCAAAAATTTGATATTTTGTTGTTTTAGTTGGATATATGCCAAGATCCATCTAACCAAGAATATTTTATCTTTATTTGAAACCAGCAAGGAAAATGCACGCAAATTCTATAGATAAAAGTAGATTACTGAAGTTTTTTTCTGTTAGAAAATGAATTAAAACCCAAAATCTACAAAAATGGTTGGCTGTAGTGAGCCATCTGGAATGAGAAACAGGCCCTATTTTAAAGTTTATTAATTTTTCAGGTAACACTCCAGATCTTATCGCTGTTATAAATCTGTATTCGTAAGCCTGATCAGCCAAAAGATCATTTTGTCTTGCAAAACAATTCACCTAAGTTACTTTTTCAAAGTTTTTGTTTGCATATTTTCATTAGAGAGGCCTTGGTATATTTTATTCCAATTGAATTCCTTGTGTAAAAACATATTTCCTTGAGAAGCGAGTAGGATATACAAAAGCACAAGAAAACAGTAGGGGTCTTATGAGCACTATTAGTGCAAAATATAAATTAGTTGAACTCACAAATTTTAAATAAAATTTATAAACTATTAATTGTTAATTACATGTAAATTTTAATAAAGGTATCAGTATTATTAATATTTATTACAAATGTATCAGTATATAATATACTGTTTGTTATAACAAAATTGTTTGACTTATCATTAGTTTTAGAAAAGAAAGCGCCTCCTATAAAAATGAACTCCCCTTCTTTTTAAAGTTGGATAAAAATTGGAAAAAAACAACACACTTTACCCTAACACTCTTTGTATAAAATATGAAAAAAGTGCTTGATTTTTGTAAAAATAACCTTCACATGAACTCCTATCTGTATTTATTTTTATGGCTTTTTGAACCAAATAATCAATTTTTTTAAAGTTCAACATAACATTTATTGAGTTAATCAAAAATTTTAATTTTTTTTTTTTTAGTTATAGTTTTGCCTTGTTAATAGTCACATTTTATTCTTCCATTCAAAACAACGCTGACCCACCCAGCAAGTCATTATTAAAAAAATTTTTTTTTTTTGCAGATTCAGAACCTCCATAAAATTCTTCAACAAAAGTGAAACCTTGCCGTTTTTTAAATTGAAAAAAAATATTAAAATTGACACACCCTATTTACATTAAATTAGCATTTGATTAGAGTGGATGTTTCTGTATAACTTTTGTTATTTCTTTGCTATTTCTGGAAATTATCTCGTAATGCTAAATTAGCTTAAAGTAAAATGAATATGGCAAGTTGAATATGTAGAAAGTGGATCTACTAATAGTTCTAATTCTTAAGTACTAGACTTAAAAAATTCTTAAAATAGTTCTAATTCTTAAGTACTAGACTTAAAACTATGAACTATGATCATTATCATGATCACAACAAACTTAAATTGAGAATGGGTGTTCAGAATAAATAGATTTTATTTCATATAACAGTTATTGGATGAATCAGCTAAGTTGTTGGCAAATTCACATTTGTTATTTTTTTACAAATTCATATTTTTTGTAAGTCTTCAGTACTTGATTTTTTTTTTGTCATAAACTTTTTACTTCTTTCTCAATTTGTTTGTGTTCTCATGTGTTCAATGTGTATTCATCTTCCTTTGATGAATTCTTCCAAGAACAAACAGCAACTAACAATATAAATTTCAATTGGTATCATGTTATCTTCCAGTTATTGTTCTTCTAGTAAAACCTTTTTTTTTCCTGTGACTCATAAAATCATATGAGACTCTTTATCACGATCATCTTGTTTCCTGTGACTCATAAAATCATAGCCTTATTATGCATATATAAATAAATAAAATTTTATCTAAACTTAATCTATAGATACAATATATTGTTATAAACATCTTATCAAAAGTCAGGCATGGTGTAGATATTGTCTATAAATATATATAAATACTGTCTTTTTAGGCATAAAGTTTTACCTTTTTAAATTTCAGAGCAGTATTTTATTTCCTATCATTTGATAATACCATGTGACATTTATTGCAATGAAAACATTACTGTCACAATGTGACATTTAATGTTTTCAATTTATTCATTTAGGTATGTTTATAAATAGTGCTATTATGAATATATATATATATATATATATATATATATATATATATATATATATATATATATATATATATATATATATATATATATATATATATATATATATATTTGTTAATTCACCTTCCCTAAGCTGAAAAGGCCATAACAGACAAATAGGCTACTTAAAGGGATCCCAAACCTCCAAGTCATATTGTGTTTACATTAAAGATAGTTATTTAAAAAAATGTTTTGGCTAAGTTTTTTTGATTAAAACAAAAGAATAAATGCATATCAAGAAAAACTAAAGTTTTTTATTTTAGTCGAAGCTTGCCTTTTTCGTTTTGTTGTAGGCCAAACTAGTCTTAATAATATACGCCACAATCTACAGATTTGATAATTTGCTCAAGCGCATTTTATTCCTAAAAGTTTTGAATGGTGCCATTGATTATTTTGTTTGTTTTAAATAAGGTTCACTGTCTGAATCAAATTGAGGTAATGATGCAAAAGATTTTTAACAAAAACATCTTCATAGTGAGAAATGGGATGATTAGCTGACAGTTGGATATTCAATGTTGTCCTTTTTTTTACTATTAAAAATCTTCAAGCCTGTAATGACTACTTAGTATGCTCTTTTTATTTAAATCTTCTTTTTATTTAAATGCTCTGTGACAAGATAGTTAGGTTTTTTTTGAGAACCTTAATAACCAGAAGAAAAAAGTGACTGGAATAATATATAACCATTTAGTTAATTCCCATACTTGCTCCAGGCAAGTATGGGAATTAATTTTTTTTTTTTTTTTAAATAAAAATTAGATTTGATTAAATTAAAATTTACTAGAACAGTAATACATGTTTTGAAGGACAAAGAAAACACTCTAAAAATTTCTAGAATTTTGTAACAAGTTTTGCTTTAGAATTTTGAGTAGTTCTTAATCAAGTATTTAAGTCTATGACTATTTCATATTTAATAATATGAAAAGTTATTGTAAAAATGTGTTAAAATTAAAATGTTTGTTAAAATGTTTTGATGCTTTTTCAACTGCATTAAATAATTCAGTGTGGTGCAGTAACCAGTCCGAAGAGTAATAGTTGCTTTAAGGTTTTTAAGCTTTTTTTTTATTCTAAGTCTGTAGTTTTTTTTTTGTCTATAGTTAAACTACAAATTCATAAATAGTATTTATACCTTTAAAAAATGAACATAATTTTCTTTAAAAAAAATGAAGCAGGTGCTATTAAAAAGCAGGTGCTTTGTGTAAAACACTTGCTGACAACTGCCATTTTTAGTATTTATACCTTTAAAAAATGAACATAATTTTCTTTTAAAAAATGAAGCAGGTGCTTAGTGTAAAACACTTGCTGACAACTGCCATTTTTCTGATTGGAGAAAAACTTTGTTGATTGCAACATTTAGGTTATGGCTATGATCCGCATCCCTAAATAAGCTATATAGCTTGATATTTTCAGCATATAACATTAAAAAATCAAGTTTTGTGTTATAGAGGGTAAATCATTAGCATCAGTATGAATAATGTTATATCTAGAATGCTACCTTGTGAAATCTTTTAAGGATGCTAGTTGCTTTGGGTAGTCAATTTCTGACCAAAACCTGTTCATATCTATTAGAGATAAACGATGAGATATAATTAAGGAGATTATCTTTTATACCATAGAAAACAAGTTTTCCCAAGAGCTTTGAATTGAATACAGAGTCAAATATCTGTTAAAAATGTATACCAGGTCAGTAAATAAATGGTTGTCTAAAGTTTTATTTTAATCTTTTTTTTACTCTAGAAGATTCATCCATGTAGAAGTTTCATTTGTGTAGATATTTTTGATAAAAACTGTGTTGATAAAGTGGTATTAGATTATTAATTATTAGATAATCAGCAATTTTGAGAGTGATGTGAGAGTGATTAAGTGAAAGAGCGATGTGAGAGAGATTGAGTGAAAGAGTGGTGTGAGATTGATTGAGTGAAAGAGTGGCGTGAAAGTGATTGGTTTATGAATACTAGCATCTGATATGCATCTTTTTTTTAAAATGCGGAACATCAAAGTAGTAAACATCTGATTTGTATGCTCTTTAATATAAAAAAAAGTTATATTTATGAAAGAAAGTTATATTTATGAAAAAAAGTTATTTTTATGAAAGAAAATTATTTTTTAAAACCAAAATAATTACACATCTTATAAATCTTTTGACAGGTTTTTTTTTTCAGGAAAAAAAAAACTGAAAAACTGAAAATTTGTTTGTTACAATTGCTTATACCTAGTTACTACCTGTCCTCACACCACTACCAAACCCTAAGCTATAATTGCTTGTATGCACACTTATTATTTATGTTTTATGCAGATGCAGTATAATATAAAGTTGAATTCCCTGAACAATCCCAAGTTTAATTCTGAAAGCAAGGCTAAACACAATTATACAAACAATGCTATACATTTTTATGAACAGTGTCAAACACAACTCCAGGAATTAAAGTCAAATTACTATAAAAAAAACAACCAATTAAGTACAGTAAAATTTTAAAAAATAACTAACTGATAATAATAAAATTTAAAAAAACTACCAATTATCTATTATAAAATTTTTAAGAAGTTTCAATAAAAAAAAATAATGAAATTATATCTTGTTACTTTTGTATAAATTTAAAACTACCAAATGGTTCTCTTATATATATATATATATATATATATATATATATATATATATATATATATATATATATATATATATATATATATATATATATATATATATATATATATATATATATATATATATATATATATATATATATATATATATATATATATATATATATATATATATATTTATATATATATATATATATATATATATATATATATATATATATATATATATATATATATATATATATATATATATATATATATATATATATATATATATATATATATATATAATGAAATAAGATCTTTATAAAATTTATTATTAAATTTTAGTGTGAGTATGTGTGTGAGACTCAAAGCAAATTCTGCTATGAACAAAATCATTCAATAGCAAAACTAGCAAGTGTGATAAAAAGGTTTTTTCAGTGCAAATCCTGTGGCTTAAGATGTGCTGTTTACAATAAAACTGTTCCCACAAAACCTTGCAGGTAAGTTGTTTCTTTTTGACAACAGATTGACAATTATTTTTATTGTTTTATATTTAAAAAAAAAATCTTTAATATTTTTATTATGAAAATCTTATTTGTTTATATTATGTGTCTCTGTAATAAGAGTAGTTATGCATGTCTTATGTAACTTGTAAAGCTGTTGTTACGTGTATTAGCTAATGAAGCTGTCTCGTGTAGCTCGTGAAGCTCATGAAGCTGTAGCGTGTAGCTTATGTAGTTCCTGAAATTTTAAATAATTTTATTATGATGTCAAAAATTGATTAGTATATATTTATTTTATTTAAAGTCACATGCTTTGCTTTAATGATTTTAATTTAGTGACAGGTTTTTAAAAAAAATTTGATTTAAACAATTTCCAGTTTTTTTATATCATTTTTAAACATTAAAATTTTTTAAAAACTAATGTAAATTAGTTAAATAATAATAAATAAAAATAAAACATAATTTTAAAAAATTTTTACAATCTATTGTCACAGTTACAGTATTAGTTATTTTTAGATACAGTATTTATTGTCTTGAAATAAAATTGAAATGAAATTTTCACATGTTTAAAATACACTTACATAAGTTTATAATTATTAAATTATTATGTATTTTCATTTTTTTTTTTTTTTTTTTTCATTATCATCATTTATATCTTTGTAAAGTTTTTGTAATACATTTATTTAATAGAAAATTTTTCTATTAAATTATTTGGGAAAACAATTAAATGAGTTTTGGATCAAACATACTTGTGGTCAAACTTACATGCGATCAAAAGAACTTATTTTAAAATTAAATTCAAATTCAACAATCTCTTGATCTTCTTAAAAGATATTTTTTAAAAATACATTTTAGATCTTTTAAGTAAATACATTTATTAAGAATAACAAATTAAAATTTAAAATAACACATTAGAATTGTTTCTTTAATGCACATTCGAATGAAAGAAAAAATGTTTTCATAGTTCCCACATTATCTTAAAATTCCAATATATAATTATATATAATTATATATAATTTATCTCTAAATTTTTTTTAAACTTTTAAAAAAAAGTTGTAATTGTAATTAATTTTGTTCTTTTTAAGTAAATGCAATGAAACAAGTTACAAAAAAGTATCAATGTCAAGAGTAAGTCTGGTTTTTTTTTTTTTAGTTTTGTTACTAACTTAGGATATGATTATGACATTTTTCATTTATTGACAAATATTGTCAGATAAATGCCCTTCTCAGAAATTTATAAATTTTTTCTCTTGAATTAATTTTTCTGAAAAAAGTTTTTTATTTGAATCTTTATAAGAAAAAAGAAATTTTTATTATTGTTGTTGTTGTTATATACTTATAACTAATAACACTATAACAAGTCAATAATAACAATTCACAGATGTCAAGGAGGCTTCTATCTTTTTTAATTGAATACTTAACTTTGTAACCCTTAGTAGAGAATTTTAAATTCTAGTTTTTTTTGATTTTGTTGTTTTGTTGATTCATTTTTTTTTTCTTTCTTTTTTTTTATTTTTTTTTTACAATGTTTTGAAGTATTTTTGTTCTTTGCTGTAACTTTTTGCAAAACAAGTTTTATTTACTTTGAATAAAACTTTTGATTTTACAACACAGTTGATTTTAGTACATTTTTTATAGCATCCTTGTGATAAATGTAAATAACAAAGTTACAAAGGGCATACCTATTAAACATCTATCGCAAAGATTAAAATTTAGAGTTTCTGATGTAGAATTACCTACAATAAAAACATATTATGTGGAGAATAACCTTCAATAAAAACACTCGGATTTGTCTAAAAAAAAATAATACTGATTCACTAAATAGAGATGCATCAGTGAAAGAGTTGAAAAATAATAATATATGGTGGCTAATATTATGTATCAAATGTTCTTTCCAAAATAAAATGGACCCATAATTACTTTAAAGCCATTCAAGATGCTCAAGTTAAAGTAAAAAAAAAAATGCTGTATTGATAAATTTTGTACTATCCTCTAAGTTCTAACAAACTGCTTAATGTAAATAAATTCTGTTGAAAATGACTTGTCAGGATAAACGAATGGATACTTTCGGATGAATTGCTTTATAGGTAACTGTCAATGTGAAAATAACTTTTCGCTCTATAGGTAACTGTCAATGTGAAGATAGTTTTATTAATAAGCCAATTATTTGTGCTGATTTAATGTATCAATAGACTTTTCAGCAGTTATCAAGAACATCAGTCATTTACATTTTCTTGAAGCAATATCTTGACAATTTTTGCCTGATGGCATGTTGTACATGAAATATCAAATTTTCTAATTTAAAACTTATAACCAATTAATAATATTGTTCTTCAAAATTTCCGATTAATCACCTTACTGTAAAAGGTGTAAATCATTACAACCGTTGGTAATGATTTCAGCCTAAATCATTATTTCTAAAGATTGCTAAATAAAATATAACTTGGATTTAAGATGAGTTTGGTGGCTGGTGAGCATTGACTTAGCGTGCTGCAAACTGCTTAATTTACATTTTGTCTCAGAACACGATACGTCGCCACATTTTAAGAGTCCGATCTTAATGTTCTTTGTATAATTTGAGGCAATCACAGATTTTTTTTTACGAAAGGCGTGGTTTTAATGCAGTATGATACCATCATAGAATAAAGTACTTTTGTAGTATGATACCATCATAGAATAAAGTACTTTTGTAGTATGATACCATCATAGAATAAAGTACTTTTGTAGTATGAAACCATCATAGAATAAAGTACTTTTGTAAGGCATCTTTGAACTGCGCGGGCATCAACACTCATACTAGGAGGCAGTTGAGTTTGAGTGTGTGAGCTTAAAATCTATTTGTTCTTCACAATCAATAGATTTATCAAGGTAGCTTCAGTGCATATCGACTGAGGATTTGTTAAAAAAGTAAACAAATACGGTTGTTAGACAAAAATAACGGCAATTCGCTTTTTCTTCAGAATTCTTTAGTATTATTTTTAATCATGAGGTGGGCACATAGTCAAAAGTATAATGAAATGCCGACCCTTTGCTGCTATGTCTTGAATGTGCGTGTTTGTGTACATGTGCATGTGTGTGTGTTTGTATATATGTGTGTGTTCTTAAATACTAAGAATAATACTTATTTTGAAATTAGGAACGCAAGGGTCCCAAGATTGGCGGTGAAACATTAGAAATACGTGGAAGAGAAGAAAAATTTCTTAACAGTATGTTTTGAACAGCTATTTCAATTGAATATTATTTAAATATGGCTACTTTTTTACTGATCACTGAGTAAGTAAACTGTCTAAAAAGCAAATATTACAATTTTGTGGGAATGAGTAATGTGTATAAAATACTTATATGGAAAATAATATTGAAATATTTTTTTAAAAGATTTGTTTTTTTTTGAAAACATTCATTCTGTTTTAAAATTTGTTTAATGACCGATAGCGTGTTTTCTTTTTAATAATAAAGTAAAAATCGAACAATTGCAATTTTTATTGTCTATAATGTTGATTCATCTACTAGTGACAGTTTGTTTTGATTTGAATTAACTCTTTTTTTAATTCAAATTTAAAAATTTAGATTAACTAAGAAAAAAGAGAGGGAAAATGAGTTTTTAATAAGTATAAAAAGTTTTATGTTGTGTAATAATTCAAATTGGTTATTGTCACTGTCATTGGAAAAAAACCTACCTGATTTAACCAACAGGTTTTGCAATTACGTGAAAGAATAAAAGAAGTTTGAATGTAAAAAAATTAATTCTTTAAACAGAATAGAATAGTTTTAGTATTCAATTATGGAAGTAATTTTATGTTTGTGTGCAGTGGTGGTTGTTTATCGAGCTAGCAAAGGAATCATGTGAATTTTACTTGATCGGCTTTACTGCAGATTTTTTCAACTGTATATCGAATGCTTTGAAACTAAATTACGTAATTACAGTGATAATTCGATTGCATAATTAGTAAACCGAACTGTGCAGGAGCAACATAAAAGTTTTTTATATGTCCATGTATACACTTTATTTGTTGATTTATTCATATTTATTTGTTTAAAATCATTTTGTTAGTAAGGAAACCTGTTGCGGTAACAGGTTTTCTTACTAACTTTTGAAGTAACTTTTTTGTACAATCAACTTTATTACGGTAACAGTGTTTCCGCAATAAAGTTGGTTTCACCAAAAGTGGAGTTGTCTTGTTTGCAGATTAAGCCGTCGATATACAATGTCGAATTATAGCACCTACAAATGTGATTTATTTAACTATAAATCGACTTCATTCATCAATTAAAACAAAGCAAAAAAACAACGCAAAATAACTTAAAATACTCAAAAAAGTCTTCAATTGGTAACTTTTTGTCATCTAATTTACTTGATCCCAAAATAATTTTGAATTTTTTTAGAAGTTCAATTTTAAGCTCTAAATAGTACCTATAATTCTTGCAACATTTTTACAGCGTATTTGCAACGTAAGTATTTTTATTAAGCAATACTGTAAATCATATTTTTAATAATAAACTTTTACTTTAATTTAGAAATTGAGCATATATGTAAAAATTAATTTGAGCTTAAAAAAAAAGTAGTTTTTAGCTGTCCCGTTGTGAGTTAACGAGGCATTTTCACCTTCCTTTGCAAAAAAACGCAACGTGTATCAAACGCTTCAAATTTTTAATAGTTATAAATATTATGTTTTATAGATATATCAGTGCTGTACTAAAAACTTATTGTGTTTTTTAGACACAAAAGAAACACAAACAAAAAACTCGTAAAAAACAACTTAACGATGTCAAATCAAAAACTAAATTTTTAAAATTATTCTTAACTATTAGGAAATGACAATGCAATTTTTAACAACATTAAAATAATGGTATTTAAATCTCGCATAAATTTCACATTCATACTGAATAATAAATAAAATAAAGTTTGGGTAAAATTTATAAGTCAATTTAAACCTATTATAAATTAAACCTATTATAATAAAACCTATTGTAAAACTTTTTATAAATTTATTATCAATTAAAAATGATCTTTTGGTTTACTTTTGAACAATTAACAATTAGCAACTGCTTTCTTTAATTTAAATCTCTTTAATCACACTTTTTCTAACTTCATACAACGTAAAAGTTTTTTATTTATTTTTTTTGTTTTCCCATTTTCCTTTTGCATTTTTGATGATTTGTGACTCAGCTGTTTTTAACAGTGTGGTCTTTATTTATTTATATATGTAACATGTAACCCAGTACAATCTGCTTCATGTCCTGCTGCCTTGTAGGATATGCTATTTTAGGCAAAGGCTAAAATTGCAGCAGCACAATGTGGTTTTCCTCACATTGTGCTGCTGCAATTGCCAATCGAAACCATTACTTCCATATCTATCAGCAAAACAATTCTCCAGAAAACAGATGTCTGTTTATTACTGCTAGGAACCATTGTAAAAAGGTTTTGTCTAACGCCAAAGCTCGCTATTCTCAGATCATGAAATCTCGTATTTCATCACAAAAATTAGACTCTTGTGACTTCTGGAGAATCTTTAATAGTATCAATAATAAGGGCAAGTCTGTAATTCCACCTCTTTTGTATGGTTCAGACTTTGTCACCTCACCTAAAGACAAAGCTGAATTGTTTGCCAAGAACTTTTCATCAATATCATCTCTTGATGCCACTAGTTGCGTTCTACCTGGTATAGCCGTCAAACAGGTTGATCCATTGCTCGACATTCGTATCACTCCAGCTTCTGTATCTAAAGTGATTTCCCGCTTAGACTCTTCTACTGCTTGCGGCCCGGACAACATACCTGTTATAGTCTTGCAGAAGTGTTCTCCGGAGCTGTCGTCTATCCTTTCAAAACTATTTAACAAATGCTTATCAGAGTCTTGTTTTCCAGCCTGCTGGAAAGCAGCATCTGTTATCCCTATTTTTAAAAATTCTGGAGAGCGATCTGATTCATCTAACTACCGTCCCATTAGTCTTCTTCCTATCATAAGCAAGGTTTTTGAATCTTTAATTAACAAACACTTAATCTCGAATCTCATAACCTACTTTCTGATCATCAATATGGATTTTGACCTTCTCGTTCTACGGCTGATTTGCTATCAGTAATAACCGATAGGTTTTATCGCGGATTAGATAAAGGTGGAGAGGTTAAGGCCATCGCTCTTGACATTTCTAAAGCGTTTGATAAAGTTTGGCATGCTGGTCTTCTCCATAAGCTTTTTTCTTATGGTGTATCTGGAAACATCTTTAAGATTATTGAATCTTTCCTTTCCAATCGTAGTATAAAAGTTGTCCTTGATGGACAGCACTCTTCTTCTTATTCTGTAACCTCAGGGGTTCCCCAAGGTTCAATCCTTGGCCCTATACTCTTTTTAATTTACATTAACGATCTTCCAGATTTTCTCACATCTAAGGTGGCATTGTTTGCTGATGATACTACCATTTATTCTTGTCACGATAAGAAGCCTGATTGCTTGCAGGAGGCATCTGAGCTTGAAAAGGATTTCACTTCTGCTACAGCATGGGGCTCACAGTGGCTGGTGAACTTTAATTCAGATAAAACTCAATTTTTTTCGGCCAATCGTTATCGTAATAGTTTAGACCTTCCTATATTTATGAACGGTAATGTGCTCGATGAGTCTCCTACCCTTCATCTTCTAGGATTAACTCTTACTTCTGATCTTTCTTGGAAACCTTATATCAAATCCGGTGCAAAATTAGCATCTGCTAAAGTTGCTTCTCTTTATCGAGCTCGTCACTTTCTTATTCTGGATTCTATTCTCTATCTCTATAAATCTCAAATCCGGCCTCGTATGGAATACCGTTGCCATATCTGGGGCGGATCTTCTAATGATGCCCTTTCTCTTTTAGACAAGGTGCAAAAACGCATTGTAAACATAGTTGGACCTGCTCTTGCAGCCAACCTTCAACCTTTGTCACATCGTCGTAATGTTGCTTCTCTTTCTCTTTTCTACAAATACTATAATGGGCACTGCTCGAAGGAGCTTATGTCTCTTGTGCCATCTACTAAAATTCATTCTCGTGTTACTCGTCATTCAATCAAGTCTCATCCTTTTTCTGTTACTGTTCCTAAGTGTTCCAAAAACTCTTATTCGTCTAGCTTTTTTCCTCGAACATCAGTTCTTTGGAATTCACTTCCTTCATCTTGCTTTCTTGATTCATATAATTTGCTATCTTTTAAGTCGTCTTTCAACCGTTATCTTGCTCTACAATCTTCATCTTTTCTCTTCCAGTAACTTCCAACACTAATTAGTGGTTGCTTGCAGCCTTGTTGGAAGCGAAGATAATTAAAGAAAAAGAAATTTGTGAGAAAAATCAAAGTTTGTTAAAATTTCATTATTTCATAAAAAGAAATACTGGTTTAATCAAAGTTGGCCTGAAAAATTGATTGTCTAATGGTGAGATTTTGGTGAGCATTAGTTGATGGATTAGCAATAACTCTTATTTTTTTATTTAATATATTTTATGAAAATAGTTTATTACATTAGCGAAAAATTATTTAATTTTTTTCTGTTATCATTTTATCATAAATCCACCGTATTTTTTAGCTTTTTTAAAAAAATTTTTAAAGTTTTAAAATTTTCTTCATATTATTCTCAACGATTTAAGTAAATCTTTTGTTATCCAAAACGATAAAATTTATTTTAAATTTATAAATTTTTTTTTCAAAGGAGAGTTTTATTGTTTTGCTTAATTAAAATAGTTTATGACCTTCAAGACATCATGTGACTGAAGGACAAGCTCCAAATTAACCCATACGTGTATGTGCGCATTTGTGTGTGATAATACATACTCAATTTTATTATTAACAAATTAATAATATTATTAAAAACATATACTTAATATTTAAAACTAATTATCTATTTTGTCAACGACAAGGATCGCGAGAAGGAGAGAAAATAGTCTTTTTTTTAAGCTTTTTTAAAATTTTTAAGCTGAGAACCAGGCCTTTTCGGTTTATCATCAAAATTGAGCAAATCATTAAGTTTAAAATTAACAAAAACAACTCTAAAAACTTCTATAAAAATAATAAAAATATCGTTTCAACAAAAAAGTTTAAACAATAATAGTAATTTAAAAATAAGTCCAACAAGTAATTCAAATAAAGAAATATCTGTTTGTCTTTATAATACCAGAAATCTTGCTAATAAACTTCATGAATTTAATTTATATACAGAGGTAGTGAACCAAGCTTTAATTTGTGTATGCGAAACTTTTTTTAACAATAAACTAACCAATGACATTGTTTGTCCGA